TCGCTATCTGATCCAAGTGTATTTGACTTCGAAAACGTACCCTTGGAAGAAACCTGGAAGGTTGGTTGAATATAACGTTGGTCTTATGTTTCCCAGTTGTATGACGCTAGTTTTTTGTCTGGAATAGAAGACAGACAGGATAGCTGGGAAAAAGTTTACTGCTGCAGGTTTTGCGTGTACATCATTTTCTCAGCCCGTCTGTCCACGGCATCGTATTTAAGGACAATTGTCCTTTGTCCGCTTCCTCTGTTCTTATTCGTCCATCCGCCAGCGTCAAGTCTGGGGGACCGTCGCGTGATGTCGGCCTCCCTAAAAGTCGCGCAAAACTCCGCAGCACCACGTTGGTGGTGGTGCTTTGTCCCGGGCCTGGCAGCCCAATACGGCAAGAGTGGTGACTCATGTTTTGGGCTGTCCTGACCAATCAGCGTGGTTGGGAATCTGGGGATGTATATTCACAGCCAACGACAAGGAAACCGGCATGCCAGTTACTGACTTAATTACCATCTTCTGTCAGCTGAATGCTGAACACCTCATCCCAGCAACGCTTCAACTTTAAATTTGCACCCGTGGTTCCAATAGTAGCGCATACATCTCATTTGCAGACTGACGTCGGGTTCAAACTTCAGTCCTATCCCTCGCTAGAATTTGTTTGGATCGATTCAAGATTACAAGTATGCTCCAAATTCGCAGTTTAGGTCTCTTACTTGTGTTCATAGTACGCTTTGACTACAAATTTTCGCTGTCTCACGCCACGATGCAAAAACCACCATTTAGTACTTAAATCAGTACCTAGGTTACGAAGAACGTGGAATAATCCTTAAAGAGTCAAATTAACCTTGAACGCTTATTTTTTCAGTGAGGACTGCCTGACCAATATTGCCCAATGAAATCATCCAAACAATCATTCTTTAATTAATAGTTGAAATCCCAGTTGTTTTTAAACGTCATACTTGAAGTCTTCTTTGAACTGACAGTTCAACTGTCGTTTCCAACAGCTACTAAATAGCTGCTTTACATTTATTCCCTTGCTGACATTCTTTGAGTCAATACCTGAGCAGGGCATGGAGGAGCTGGTTGAAGCCGGTCTCGTTAGGTCAATCGGCGTTTCAAATTTCAACAGGGACCAACTTGATCGCATTCTAGCCGTCTGCAAGATACCTCCCGCGGTTAACCAAATTGAAGTCTCAGTGAATTGGCCAAATGAAAAAATGGTCAACTATACCCATTCAAAGGGTATTCAGGTCATGGCCTTCGCAGTTCTCGGTTCCCCGGGAGTAATGAAGTAAGTATTTTTTATTACCTCGGAAATTAATCGTTGACTTCGGGGTAAATCAGTCTATTTGAAGCTTTATAAGCCTAGACTCAAAGTTTATATAAATATTTGGTCTGAAGTCTGTCAGCCCCAGTGGTATAACCACGTAATATGCTTAAGAGGGCCAACAGACAGTTAGTAGTATACACAGTGGTTATCTTATGCACAATATTGTCAGCCTGGATATTAACTGAAAGCTCATGCACGTTTTTTCGTCGATATTCTGCTGCCGAATGACACAGCTGCGCAGTACGTACTCATACTGTTCTCTTCTTTTGTTATCTATTTCTGCAGCAGTTTTTCTTTCATAATTAATAATGCTGTATGCCATAAAAAAGTTATTTATTAGGATCCGGTGCCCCCTAAATGGGCCGCGGGTTAAATAAGCTGTACCAACACGGAGGCTCTGGTCTTCTTGTCTCTATTTCGACACCGGTTACAGATGGATGAGGGAAAAGAGAGTACCGTAGATTCAGCACAGGCCTGCTTTTGCGTAAAACTACTTCATGTGCAAGTCACCATCCCTGCGTCACAAGGGTGTGAGCGCACGGCGAATCGCGTAGGATACGGCGTTGCCAAATATGAATCCAATAGCGGGGTCATGAGTTTTGAAAAAAAACTGCGGCGTCCTAATAGTCGTCGATTGGAAAATTGTCAGTTGAAGCAATACATCGGCCCTCCTT